AGGGGTTCTCAACCCAGTCCTCAGGACCCCCTACCAGTCCAGGATTTGGGGATTACCTGGGTGTGTCTCAGGTGTTTAGAAAAAGGGGAAAAAACACCTTAGACTCTAAGGTGTTTTTTTTTTCTTTTTCTAAACACCTTAGACACACCCAGGTAATCCCTAAACCCTGGACTGGTAGGGGGTCCTGAGGACTAACGTTGAGAACCCCTGATCTATTTTCATATTTCTACTTTTTAGCAAATCTATTAAAAGTTATATTTTAACGTTCATTCTAACTTATGACAATATTATGTTATTGAGACACTAATTGGTAGTTTTTTTTATTTTTTATTTTTCTATAGTAGAACTCCCTCCATCTCAAAAACAACTATTCTACACTGAACAAATTGAACATTTTAGAGTAGCCTTTTATTGTGGCCAGTCTAAGGCACACCTGTGCAATAATCATGCTGTCTAATCAGCATCTTGATATACCACACCTGTGAGGTGGATGGATTATCTCGGCAAAGGTGCCCACTAACACAGATTTAGACAGATTTGAGAGAAATAGGCCTTTTGTGTACATAGAAAAAATCTTAGATCTTTGAGTTCAGCTCATGAAAAATGGGGGCAAAAACAAAAGTGTTGCGTTTATAATTTTGTTCAGTGTAGTTGTTGTGGATAGATTCACCAAGATGTCTCACTTCATCCTGTTGCCCAAAATCCCCACATCCAAAGAATTCTCCAAGATTTTTATTTCCAATATCGTTTGGTTGCACGGGTTACCAGACAAAATTATATCTGACCGTGGAACTCAACTTACCTTACGCTTCTGGAAAGAATTATGTGTATCCCTCCAAATAACACAAACATTATCCTTCTCTTATCATCCACAAACAAACGGTCAAACCAAAAGGGTTAATCAGTGTCTGGAACAATACCTGAGATGCTATTGTACATATCTCCAAAACGACTGGTCTACTTGGTTACCCTTAGCCAAATATGCTTATAATAACTCATTTCATTCCAGTAGTAAACTCTCCGACCTTACATACTTCTCCTGCCCCTTGGAACCGGATTGAAAACAGACTACTCTTTAAGGAATTTCCATATCCTCACTAAAACATCACCAAATGGAATTGTTCATGCCTCTTAAGGTAATCAGGTCCAATTATATCCATAAACTGATAATTATTAAGAGACTCTGTATCCTGCTACTAACCTAAGCTGCTTGCTAAACCGGGCTTTCTCTTCCTCTGTGAATTTCTGACAATCTGCTTAAAGGACCACTATAGTGCCAGGAAAACATACTCGTTTTCCTGGCACTATAGTGCCCTGATGGTGCCCCCACCCTGAGGGACCCCCTCCCGTCCGGCTCTGGAAGGGGGAAAGGGGTAAAAACTTACCTTTTTCCAGCGCTGGGCGGGGAGCTCTCCTCCTTCTCTCCTCCTCCGTTCCGCCCCGTCGGCTGAATGAGCACGCGCAGCAAGAGCTGCACGCGCATTCAGCCGGTCGCGTAGGAAAGCATTCATAATGCTTTCCTATGGACGCTGGCGTGCTCTCACTGTGAAAATCACAGTGAGAAGCATGCAAGCGCCTCTAGTGGCTGTCAGTGAGACAGCCACTAGAGGATTAGGGGAAAGGCTTAACCCATTCATAAACATAGCAGTTTCTCTGAAACTGCTATGTTTATAAAAAAATGGGTTAACCCTAGAAGGACCAGGCACCCAGACCACTTCATTAAGCTGAAGTGGTCTGGGTGCCTAGAGTGGTCCTTTAAAGACTCTAACTTTATTAGATGTTCTGCATCTACAAATGTGAATTGTTTCGATTACCCTGACTATTCTTTACTAAACTGTGCCTTCGCAACTAACAACTTGATTACTCTGCTATTCTATCGAGGAAATCTTACATGAGTATCAATAACTCTACTGGAAGTAATCGGCATACAACAATTTAATGTGAGAAATTTTCTTAAAGAGATACATACATCCAAATTTCTGCTGTTGAGTTCCAACATTTCTGTTACAACCTTACATCTGGTGCTGTGTTCTAGGTAAGTTTAACTACTTTGTTTTTAAATATGTTTAGAAATCAGTCTGTGTAAATACATTGTTCTTGTTCTAAATTACATTTTAGTTGTAATTATTACTATTAAGTCACATAAATTTCTCAGAACAACCCTGCCCCTGGTCATCCTTCCCTCCCCCTCACCCCCATCCCCCCTCCCCCTGTGTGGGGATGTGGGAACGGTTATACTCTATTTTGTGCCCTGGTGCCAAGGTGTCTGGCCGCTAATTAAATTACCAGCTCAGGTACAGACACCAAGGTGCCGGGGATGTCACAATTATATTGTTCTCCGTGGGGACCTCCTATTGAGACCCTAGGTATAAAAGGTGACAAGACAAGGAAATCTATATAGCTGCTAGCAGTTCTTCTAGCACAATAATATAAAGGGCACTTTGTGGATCTGGTGATACTACTATTGCACATTTCTCGCCCAGAATGTCCAGATCGAGATTCCCGCGGCCTACAGTTGATTCAAGAAAGGGAGGGGTTGCCTCTCTCCTGATGCCTTTTCCAGATGCTTTGATATAGCATATCTACTTATTCCCCCTTTGAACCAGTGGGGGTCCCAGGAGTCCAACCAAAACCGCCAGAAACTTACTGATCCAATGGGACAGCGTGGATTAGAAATTGGCAGAAGTAGAAGCCATAGACCAGGGAGCAATGTCTAATACAATTGTAGTGTTCAGGCTGGACCACATATTTTTGAATTATTGTCACATATAGCAGCAAGGAAGCAGAGAACACAGTCTACTCCACAGGGTCACCGTGAGGTGGAGAAGACACCTACCTATAAAATCGAGAATAAAAATATGGAGGGAATGTTGCAAAACCGATTAATCTGCTGGAATCGCTGTGTGAAGCCCAAATCCAAAGCCCAAGTGTGGAAATGCAGATGGGCTTCACTTCAATACATATTTCTGCATCTGAGATGCTCCAGACTAGTCCTGTGAGGTTGGGCCTGGGTCCAATTCCAAGAGATGCATACAGTCTCTCAAGGCAGTGGCTGTTGTTTTTAGGAGAGCTTGTGGAATCTACATGCAGTGCCACCGTAGGCCACACTAAGCTACAAGTCTCAAATAACTATCTACCTTGGAAAAATGTAATGAAACGAAGCAAAAAAACAACAACGCTGCCCTTGGTGCTAGTTTGGGATACCACCATATCAGATTCCCAATCTGCAAGATGGAAGACAGCCCCATGGTAGGTAGTCCAAGAAATAATACAGAAATGGACTACCTACCAAGGGGCTGCCTGTCATCTGGCAGATTAGGAATGTGGTATGGTGCAATCACAAACTAGCACCACTGGCAGTGTTGTTTTTCTTTTGCTTAAAGGACCACTATAGTGCCAGGAAAACATATTCATAATGCTTTCCTATGGATGCTGGCATCTTCTCACTGTGATTTTCACAGTGAGAAGCACGCAAACGCCTCTAGCGGCTGTCAATTAGACAGCCACTAGAGGCTTTAGAGGCTGGATTAACCTATTTATAAACACAGCATTCTCTGAAACTGCTATGTTTATTAAAAAAAAAATGGGTTAACCCTAGCTGGACCTGGCACCCAGACCACTTCATTAAGCTGAAGTGGTCTGGGTGCCTAGAGTGGTCCTTTAATTTTGTTAAATTTTTCCAAGGTAGACTGTTTTATTAGTAGTTTAGCATTTCACATTTTATGAAGTCTATATTCTTACCTTTCTGTTATATTTGTAAATACATGCATTATTCTTTGCTTTATGTTTATCTCAAAAATCGAAATCATGCATGGATCTTTGTTTTCTATTATGACTCTGACAAAGTGTTGCATTTTGTGAATTATTTCTAATGTGATGTGAGGAAAAAAACAAAAAAACAATATTTTAATAAAATTGTGTGTACTTTCATTTTATGAATAGTTGTGTATCAGGACAGGTGCATTTAAAAAAAAACTCTTTAAGTTGAATTATTCTAATGCAGGTGGAGATTTTTATTACTCAGCAAGCTCATAAACTGTCTGTTGGCTCCCCCTAGTGGTATTTGTATGAACAGCCACAAATAGACCACACAATTCTTGAGTATATTCTCAAGATTTAAAATGTATGGCCATTTGTGCTGTATATGCACAAATCTTACACAGGGCCGGCCCGTCCATTGGCAGCAGTGGGACCATAGCTCCAGGTGGCACTTTTACAGGAGCGGCATTTTGCCGCCCCAGTACACTGTAAAGTGATTGCTGTGGAGCTCTGGACACCTATGTATATGTATATATATATATAGAGAGAGAGAGTAGAAGAAAACCGGCACTCAAGGAATTTTAGCAAATTTTTACTGTGTAAAAATAAATCAACGTTTCAGCTCCTCTAGGGAGCTTTCATCAGGACATCCCTAGAGGAGCTGAAACGTTGATTTATTTTTCCACAGTAAAAATTTGCTAAAATTCCTTGAGTGCCGGTTTTCTTCTACTCTCTACAATTGAGCCACCAGAGCACCAGGTAAAATATATTTTTTTATTGGAGTGCAGGGGTTTAACATATTTTTTTTATATATATATATAGATGTAAAAAACAGATAAAATTTGTATCTTGTAATACCTTTTTTATTGGACTAACAGAATTTTTTAATGACAAGCTTTCGGGGGAACCTCCCTTTCTCAAGTCTGAAGCATTTCTGAGCAAGACGACACATAGAATTCAAAGCTGAGTTGTGATACAGGGGTTAAAGCGACATAAGTGCAGATAAGACACAGGTTTGTTAGAAAATAGACACTATTTTTGCAGAGGGTCATAAACATATTTCTGAAGAGCAGAGTGAGGGGGGAGAGAGGGAGAAGAAAAACAAACAAGCAGACAGTGCAGAGGATGGTACACTTTATACATGCAAACACACATAAATATGTATATGTGAATGCATATTCCCATCTAAATATACTCTCCCAATTATTGAGACAGAAAGGCTACAAACCAAAGACTATTACCAAAGAAATCAACTCTGCTGTAAAAACGCCACGCACGCGCCTGCTACAGTACAGAGAGAAAAAAATATCCACATGAGTGCCACTTGTGGTCACCTACAACCCAGCTCTTGAGGAAATACGGAAAATCATCAAAGACCTACAACCAATATTAACAGAAGATGAGACTCTGAAAAACATTTTCCCTGAAACACCCATTTTGGCCTTCAGACAACCACCAAACCTCCAACAAAAATTAATCAACATGAAGCTGCCCACTGATGGTAAGAATGAAGAAAATGGGACCAATCAATGCAAAAAAACTCGCTGCAAACTGTGTCAGCACATATGCACAGACAACACTGCCACACACAGCAATAAAACCTACAGCATTAAAGGTTCATACTCCTGCACATCCAGCAATGTGGTATACATGATTCAATGCACCAAATGCCACCTAGGATGCTACATTGGGGAAACCACCCAGCCATTAAATGGCAGAATGAATATGTACAGACACTCCATTAAACACCACAAAGAAGAATCCTACTGCACTCCTGTGGGACACCACTTTACCCAGCCTGGCCACTCACTGAAGGACCTAAAAATCAAAGTACTGAAAGGGGGTTTTAAAAATACCCAGGAAAGAAAAACTTTTGAAGCCAGAATGATTAAATGGACTAAATATTGATTTGGGTTTCCTGTCCCACTACCAACACTTTACATGAACACTCTCCCAGCATTATCTTACTGTTCTGTCATATGTATCAACATTTTAAAATGCATTCCTATATGTTTATTCTATTTATATACAAAGTACTATGTGTAGACCTATGCTTTCCCATACTCATATGCATGTATGCTTATATATATTACTGTGCATTAATATTTGTGTATATGAGTTCATGTGCATGTATGGATATGTGTTTATGTATATGTACATGTGTTTATGCGTTCACATATACATATTTATGTGTGTGTGCATGTATAAAGTGTACCATCCTCTGCACTGCCTGCTTGTTTGTTTTTCTTCTCTTTGTTTTTCCCCCCTCACTCTGCTCTTCAGAAAGATATTTATGGCCCACTGCAAAAATGGTGTCTATTTTCTAACAAATCTGTGTCTTATCTACACTCATGTCGTATCAACCCCTGTATCACAACTCAACTTTGAATTCTATGTGTTGTCTTGCTCAGAAATGCTTCAGACTTGAGAAAGGGAGGTTCTCCCGAAAGCTTGTCATTAAAAAATTCTGTTAGTCCAATAAAAAAGGTATTACAAGATACAAATGTTAACTGTTTTTTAAATGTACATCACTGGGCTAATACAGCTACAATCTCTACTTGAACTATATATATATATATATATATATATAGCGATTACCGCTACATATATATGCAGTTCTGGGCTCCCGCTACCTTGTCCTGTAGAGAGGGGGCCCAGAAGTCGGATGTTCCCCTCCTGCAGCTTTCTGTCATCTCCTCTCGTAACACCGCGAAAGGGTTGCTGCAGGTTACCATGGCAATGCTCAGGTGTTCATTACGTGCCGTGCGGAGCATTGCCATAGCTCACTCGATTTGCAAGAAGAGATGACAGGAAGCTGCAGGAAGGAAACATCAGACTTCTGGACCCCCTCTCCACAGGACACAGTGAAATGTGCCGTTGGACCATGTGGCGGAACCAACCTCGCCACGAAGCATTGGAGAAGCCTTGTTGCTTGCCTGCTCCCTTTAGACTATGGCCCTGCAGTTCAAACCTGTTATTTTCCCTGCTGAAAGGTTTATTCGTGCCTTTCTGCCTGGGTGTTCGGTAGATTCAATCTACCGAACAAAGTACCGAACGATGGACCACCTGGGAACTGGAGTGTGCCGTCAATTGACTGCCCAGAAGCTGCGGTTAACCGCAGCTTAATTGACGAACGCTGGGTGGCCTTTGTTCGTCTGCCGAACACGTGGCAGCGGCAGCGTGCATGTAACTGTTTTTTTATTTTTGTACTATGTTTTGGTGCAGATGAATGCTGTGGCCATTGCTGCTGCCCAGGAATAGAGGGAGTTTGAGTGCAGGGCTTACATTTGTGTGTTTGTATGTTGCTTTTGTATTACAGAGCCATGTTTCAGTGCTGCTACCCACCCCATGTGTACCCTATAAAGGATTAATAAGTGGGGTTCATAAAAATACCCATCTGAGTCCCAGTAGAGATTTTGCTTTTTAGCTCATAGCAGCAAGGTGAATGTTAGGGTTGGTCTCAGGTAAGAGGTTTGACTGGACTCAGTAATTCTTAAATTGAGATCACTTCTCTCCCTTGACTGTATTCACTAAGCCAATTGGAGGCTCAGATCTGTGTGAGATGTCATTTGATTGTATCCACCTGTACAATATAATATGTTTTTTGTTTGTTTTGTCCTATATATTGTATTGCTATAACGATTACATACTAATGTCCATTCATTTCTTGGGTTTAGAGATTAACATAAACCCTAGGAACTAATCATTATCGGGATGTAAGTGCATTACTTCTTACAACCTACAGAGGTCAGTATGATTGCTTTATTTTGGAACATTCTATCTATTTTTTGTTATCATCATTTATATAGTGTCAACTTATTCTGCTGCACTTTACAATTTTATAACATTACAATTATACATTAAGTATATAGAATAAACAAACCAAATATTGTAACTACAAGAGGTGAAAAGGGTCCCACTCAAATGAGCTTACAGTCTACACATGCTGACACTGAGACCGTTACAGACATCAACAGATTATGAATATTTTATGTAGCAATATGCCAGTTGTGTTCCTAATAAGAGTTCCCATGCAATCCCTTGGTTATTAAGATTTTAAAATGTCATTGACCACTTCCCAGATATAATTACCTTGCCCCCAGTAGTCAAATGTGTCCCCTTCAGCTTTCCTGTCAATGTAGCGTATTTCGGAACGTCATTCATTCAATGTTAAGGTATTTCCACAAATAGGATTCTAATGCAGAATGGGCTCTTGTCCATGAATTTCAGAATTAAAATGACAGGCTGGATTGCAATGTGAATTCCAACAATTGTGGCATTTATTAACGGCTAAATTGTAAACAAATCGTCCATGAGTTTGTTGAGTGAGGGTATTAAGAGTCAAATTCACTGATTTCAGTTTGATAGCTTTGGGGCACTATATTAAAATAAAAAGTAGGAAAAGACAATTGGCACCTGCCACTCATCTCATGTGCAGGGTTCAGAGGTGAAACATAAGAGTAGTGTCCCAGGCAACCCCTGTATCAGCAACCAACACTGATCGGGGTGTTCCCCTCCCCACCCATCTCAAATCAATATGCAAAGTGTAGAGATGCCTTAAATAAACTGATCAGGACACTTGGGTGCTAGGGCTGCAAACAAAATGCCCTACTTCCCCTCACCCCATGTACAGCAGAATGAGAATTAAAAACACCAAGCAGGTAGGCAAAAAGATGCTCACCTGCTCCTACCCCTGTATTCTAGTACCTGAGAATGGGTATAATGGAACCCTTACGAATAAAATAGATTCTACAGTGTTAGCAGTACAAATCTGTAATCCTAACATTATAGAGCTCTCTAGTCACCTCCCCCAGCTCATAAAGGGTTAAAAAAAAAACATCCAGCATCAGTTAGACAACCAAAAGTCCATTAGCAACCAAGTGCCTCTGGTGGCTATCTGATTGACAGCCACTAGAGACAGTCTTAGTCCTGCAATGTAATTGCATTGCTTTACATTGCAGGACTAAGTGGCACTGGGATACTGTACCCAGACCACTTCAATGAAATTAAGTGGTCTGGGTGACCAAAGTGTACCTTTAAGAAATAGTCAGAGGCTGAGTTATGAAGGATAATGTGATGGGGTGGGTGGACATCATGTTCCATTTGATGAAATGTTAATTTATAAAATGCCAATTTCTATTGAAATCTGCACTTCTTGTAAAATAAAAACAAAATGACACACTTCACACAAAACCTTTCAACAAGCTTAATTGCTTTAGGTGTTTGGGGTTTCCCTTTATTGAGCATCCTGGCATAAATTCAGTACCAAGGGTATGCTCAGCCCCTTGTCATAAATTAACCTAAAAATATATATATTTGTAGTCAGGGACAATAAGCCGAGTTATAGTGGTGATGGTGTAAATCGGTTGTGGTGTGCCTGAAACCGATGTTCAGGTAGGCCTGTAAAAAGAGGGCAAAAAGTTTAATACTGTAATACATGTTGACATTATATAATCAATACTTTAAATGCCTGCCTCAATTCCCTCGCCGGTTGATGGATGTGTCACATATTCATCCGCTTATAAAAATGTGGTTAATGGCATTTACTGTCCACACAGGAAAAGTTGTGCTGAGCAGCAACCAAATCCACAGAAGGGTTAATGCTGAGCAGCAATTATGCAGATGGAACCTGGTAACTGCCTTTGGGGTCAAAGGCCGGTTGCAGCCTATAAGATCTAGAGGAGGGGTATTTAGGCCCAGTTCTCATCCTGCTCAGTGCCCTGTCGTGGTTTCCCTTGTGGTTGTCCGAGAGCACGTTATTGATTCTATTGATTCTGGTTATTCTGGTTATTTGACTTTGGCATTGTTTTTGACTTCCCTGTTTTCTGGCATCCCTGACTCCTGGCTTTTCCTTATCGTTGTGTCTCTTTCTGTATCCCTTGACCTCGGCTATTCCTGACTATTCTTTGGTACGTTAGTCCGGCCATTCTGAGGTCTGATATATGTTACCTATTAGTCCTCTGTGTTACACAATTCTACGTGCTGGATCATTCTGTAATCCTGACATTACGACATGGCCATAGATCCTATAGAATTGTGTAAGCACATAGCTGCTTGTGAAAGGAAACTGGAGGATAATGATCACCGCATGGATCAATTTGCCCAGGCCTTCAGTACGCTTCTTACCCGAACAGCACATCTGCAACCTGCGGCCTCAAACCTTGTGTACCTCCAGCTATAGTACACAAGGCATATGCCATAGAATTTGGTACTAGGCTTCCGAGGTAGACTGGACTAATAGTGGGTTAATCTCTGCATTTAAAAACGGATTATCTAAAACTATGCTAGATGAGATTGCCGCCAAAGACTTACCTAAAAAGCTTAATGAATTTATCATGCAGATTGATAATAGATTAAGAACCAGAGAATCTACTAGAAACAAGACCAGACGCATGAATATGCATTTAGCACCCCGTTTCTACAGACCTATTGTCCCTGAAATTCCTGTACAGTCCGAACCCGAACCCATGCAG